GACGAGTGAATCCGACGTGACCGACAATTGCTCGTAAGCGACTATGAGGATGGCTCGGGAGGAAAAGTCGGCAGAAACCGGGAGGTGACTTGGGGGAAACTACACGGCGCTGGTGGCAGCGAGGCGAGTCCTTCCTTTGGGTATCGAGGATGGTCCGGCTGATGAGAGGGGGGCGGCGCATCCCGTGCTGGCCGGTGTAGCAACTAGTCGTGCCACTGCCGCGGGGGCTGCATCAATAGTCATGTCCGCAGGTGGAGCGGTAACTAGCGTTGGATCGGAAGATGTAGGATTCAGGAGAGGTCCGTCAGCAAGCCCGATCGCCGAAGCAAGACACTGCTGTGTCCGACGTCATCTTGCCACTAGAACTAACCCATATTCGGTGGGCACTGGGGTGGAGCAATCCTCAGACGATGTCTCACCATCTGAGGGCGATGCGTCATCGGCGGTTGCCCCACCACGCGCTCACCGATCTAGGGGCAATCCGACTGGTTAGTCAGATGGCGTTGGACACTGCAGTGTCTTCTTGCGGCGAGCGCGCTTGCTGACAGGCTGACCTCTCCTGAACCCAAAATTCCAGATTGACCCAGATCTTTCGACCCAATGCTCCACCTGCGGACAGTACTGATACGGCGCTGATTATGCAGCTCCCGCGGCAGCAGAACGACTAGCTGCTACTACAATAGCATCAGCCGCCGCAGGAGATGACGCCCCCCTCTCATCAGCCGGACCACCCTCGATGCCCAAAGGAAGGACTCCCCTCGTGGCCATCAGCGTCGCCGCAGCTTACTCCAAGTCGCCTCTCGGTTTCTTCAGACTGCATTCCTCTCTAACAATCTTGTCGCTAATAGTCAATCGTCGGTCGAATCGGACACAATCGCCCCCGGAGGGATATTTATATGCGAAGGGTCACTCGATCACCCACCCGACGGAATATCCACCAAGAATATAGTTGATCTCCAAAGTACCTCTTGGATGCAGTATACAAAACGCTCTCTTGCTTGTTTGGGACGGACGAACCAGCAATCAAACACTTCAGGGCGAGAAAAAAAACATAAAAAAACTCAAACTTTGCTCCCCAGATAAACGTTTTGGTCTGTGTTCGATTTGTGATCAAGAGAGAGCAGAGCACTTGCTTCTGCTGGCCAAAACTCCATGGACTGGAGTAGACCAGTACCAGCCCTCCCGATTGTCTTGCGTTCGACCTGCCAACACGGTTCTATACCAGTAGTTGCACGCCTCTCTCACGCTTGACTCCACCCTGAGCATTTTTTTAGAAAGTAAACATAACCTTACAGAAAGGCTGCCTGTTCGAGCACATTTTCCACTCGCGAACACGGGTCCAGAATACTTGTTGCATCTCAACAGCCTGCTACCGTCTAGTGAACGATTTGTGGAGAGGGGATGACAACCATTAGACCGCGCGAAAAGGTCGGACTTCATAATACTTGTGGTATCACCAACCTACGTTCCATCGTCGTCGTCTCCGTCTCCTTCCACCTCCAAGCTAAAGTCGCCCCCGCCCACGGAGCACACGGCACCGCGTATTTGCGTCGCGAGCACGGTGGCGGCCCCAAGCTGGCTACGAGACTGTCGATAAGACGGCCAAAACAACGGAAGGAATAGCCGTAATGGCAGTTGGTACAGATTGATCTGACGGGAAACGGACAGGGTGGTAGTGGAATTGAAACATTCATCAGCATGGGTGACTGATACTGTACGATCAGTCGCGGGATGGATCGTTGTACCATGGTGTGGGGGCTGCGGTATGACTGTCAAGCGTAAATCGACGTTGCTGCTGTGTGACACGCCGACAACCTCCCCTTTGACGTGACGTAACAAGGACAGAAGATGGCGTTGTGGCTTGAGAATGGGACTAAAAACCGCACTTACCATGACAAAATCTTCCAACATGCGCCCCTGTGATGCTGCAGAAGATGATGCTGTTCTTGGTCCTGCTCCTTGAGGCCCTACTGCTGCATTTGGTGTCCGATGAGCCCCTGACTGTGAGCACGGCCTGCCCAACACACACAACAATACGGCAAACGGCAGAACCATTAGAGACGAGGCTCGAGTCTAACGTAAGGACAGAGAGCTAACACTCCAAACTTGTGTGCCATAAGGAAGCTGCGCTGCTGTTGCTACCACGGTCATGTTGACTCCACGGCCACGCAGTGGTGTTGACCTGTGTCTCGGCGCAAAGCCACAGCTGGGGACACCCGCAGATCAGCAACCGAGGTCCTTCCCGTCACAAGAGCACGCTCCGCTCACCCTCTTCCTCGTCGCGCCCTTCTCGTCACAAATCCCAGTGCCCTTGCTGTTGCCAACCCCACCCTCATGGTGCAGTGGTGTTGTTGTGTGTTCGTGTTGTACGTACGGTATCAATGATTGCTGCGCACAGCGGCGGCGGCAGCGGGCGGCGTGGGTTGATGGCATGAGTGACCCGCGGCGCCTCCTACCCTCCCTCAAGGTACACTTCGCGTACCCCCCAGACCACTTGAGGGCTGCCGGAGCAAACGCACCATTTACGAAGGGAAAACTGCACGCGAAGCCTTGCTTCACTTGTGCAACGATGAGAATAGCCGCATCAGCAGCAGCCCGTGCTTTTGCCAAAGCAGCTCGACGAACGGCCAGGTGAGTTGTGTTGAGAATTACCGACCGTTGGTTGGCGTACGCACAGTGGGGTCTAGTGGTGCGAGCGCTGCAACCGCACACAGACAGCAGCAGCAGCAGCCGCTTGAAATGTACCGCCGTCCTTATTGTTGGCGAGTGAGGTAGCAGTGGAAAAATATGACTTTCTATCATCACGCACCCACGCGCTCGATGCCTGTGTCATCAGAGCAGTAGCGCTGCACGTCCAACACTTCACGAAAACTATGCTGAATATCCCTCAAAGGCGGCGTAACCTCTCGTATGATCCCGCGCCCCATTCCTCGTCCACCGCTGTCACAGGCCAGGACAGATTGGGGAAGGCGTCAGCCACGGCGAAGCTGGGCGAAAAATGGCGGCAACAAGAATGCGAGCCATCAATACTGCGACGGGGGTGAGTGTTCGTGGGTCGTGCCTTCGTTCACACTGCAAGGCCGCACATCCGCACATGCGTATCATCTGGTGCTTGCCGCAGTGCTGTAGACTCGAGCGGACGTCGTCGTTGTGGTGCTTGTGGTGGCGGTAGGTTTCGACGTGCAAGACTCCGTCGCGTAGCGTTCTAAGGTAACAGCAGTTGTTGAAGCAGTCCGCGGCTGTAGTCCCGCTTGAAGGTGATCAACTAGAGGTTGAGGCGATGCTTGCTCGGTCCGGGCGGGAAGGCGAGGAGGGCCGGGGGTGCTGACTTGATCCAGTTACACTCCATGACGAGGACCGAGCTCTTCCAGCTGAAACCCAGTGGTACCATGTGGTGAGCTTCAAGATAGGCGTTGATAAACCCGCTGCAATATGCTGCACTCTTATCGCATCGCATCTAGAGAGACGGTGACGACATTTCTCTGAATTCCAAGTGGCCACCCGCCACCACCACCGATTCCCACCCGTGCTGCCGCCCCCCCCGCGATCACAACCCCTGGCAGATTCAGACACACGTCGGGGCAGCCGCCGTACTCGTTTCAAAGGTGGTGATGATCTCATGTTCATCATCAGTAGCGCCCACTTTTTTGGAAGAGGAAGAAGAGGATGAAGATGACGATGGAGGACGGAGGAATTGAGACACCAGCATTGGCGCGGACGCCAAACAACTAGTGGTAGGGAGGGGGCATGACGGTGGTGTTGGGCCATAACGGAGTATTTTCAACCGCACGTCTGGTCTTGCGTTTTCGGTTTAGACGCTGGACGATAGTTCGGGGACAACGAGAGTGCAACCTGTTGACCTTACCATTTCGTGAAGCTTGTTTGGTGCGATACTTTTCGTCGACATCGCCGACACTCGTCATTGTTTGGCGCTCCAATAAGGCCCAAAGATCACGACGCAAGCATGATCACCCCCTGTTTGCGACCAGCACCTTTCGATGGAGCTAGGACGTGGTTTCTCTGGCTGCGGGATTGCAATCTCCATGAAGACCTCAACAAGTTTTCTTGGAGAACTGCCCCAAACCGATAGTCCCTTCTGAGATGATCGAGCTTGCTCAGGTCTGATAGGGATAACTGCCGAAACATGGGCCAGCCCTTGGATTGCTGTGCCATCAACTCGTGGTAGTGACTACCGTCGACACACACGAGCTGTGACTCCATGGAGTACGTCGCAAAAGCAAATTCCGCCGCACCCTACCACGTTGCCGCCTTTCCTTGACAAAGAATGCTCTGGTGACGAAAGTGATCGCAGCAGCAGCCAACTCGCAACACCTAACAACACGCAGCTGCGTAACCCTCGAGTTCGTTCGTTTCCCGAGTACAGCCAGCTCGTCCGTCCGTCACGCAATCCCTCTCAAGAACTAGGAGACAGACGTTGCGTAGTTTTAATCAAAACAACTACCGATACAGTATGTGACCGTACCGTGAATTCCGGGTATGTTGCCACTAAACCCGGTAGACTGCAGCTCCCACGACACGTACAAAAAAATTGACCCACGAGAAACACTTTCCTTTCGAACTGAACCCAGAATCGTACGTTTGTTACGAAAACACATGAAGATAGTGGTATGCTTCATCTACGTCCGGGGCCGCTTTCCGCCCCCGTCATAACTGCTGCTGCCGGCGCTGGCCAGTTTGGCGGCCGCTTTCCTCGCCTCTCTTTCTGCCTCGGCACTAGCCTTCATTAATCACATGCAACGGGCAAGTAACAACGCGGGCCAGGAACAAATTTGGTGCACAACAGTTTGCTGCAAGCAGAACGCTACGTGCATGTTGTTGAAGATGTTACCCGTTTGGGACAGCAGTTGCTACTCGGTTTGTGTCTACCAGCATGTCCTGCCCAAGAATACCACATAAGTCCAACCACACACACGACCCGTGTCACCAGGGGTGGGGATGACCAAACCCGTTTCCAGTGTTACGACAAATGAGAACCAGGCAAACAACGCTCCCCCCGCCTACCCAGGGATGGAAACGAAGTCTGTGAGGGAGAGGAACACAACGGGTAGGCCCTGACAGAAAACTCTCGAGATACGGAGACCCGTGGAGACAGGCTCCTGAACCGTGGAGAGCTCGGTCGATTAACACTCCCGTGGCACCCTCCAAAAAGGACCAAGACCACATAACGAGGAGCACTGTCAAATGGCACCGCTGGTGTCTGGTTAATTACGTAAATTCCCTCTGTGGCATAAGTTGCTACGGAGACCGCGAATGCGTGCAATTCAAAAAGGGCTGTCAATGACACACGGGTAGATGGGAGAGATCGGAACGGTTCATGATGTGACGACAACAACATACCTTCGCCTCGTCCCCTGGCCCCAGCATGGCCTCCGCCTCGTTGTCCGCCCAAACTCCCCCGTCCTTGTCTTCGTCTTCGGAGTCGCTGTTCGTACCGCCGCCGCCACGCCCACCATCCTTTCCGCCGCTTCGCTTGTTCGACCCCTTCCGCTGCCCCCCCCCATCCTCCTCCTCCTCTTCCTCGTCCTCCTCCACATCGAAAAGCTGCTCCCGGGCCTTGAGATCCTTCTGCTTTTGCCTCGCGACCTGAAGGAGCGAAGCGAACGAATGATGTATAAGTATTCGGTAGACGTGTGATGCAGACGATGGGTGGTACATGAGCCAAGGCAGCGAGCGAATGATGTTGTAATGTAACATTTCGGTAGATGTACTATGCAGACGATGGGTGTTACAGGAGCGAAGGAGTGAGCGCATGATGTTGTATGGGCATTTCGGTAGGCGTGTACAGGCGATGGGTGTTATGTCAGTGAAAGAAGCGAACGAATGATGATTGATTATTTTGGTACACGTTTGCAGACGGCGATGGGTGTTGCGCTAGCGCGAATAGCCGGTGTGCTTGAGGGGGGGATTGGGGTACTCCTTTTCAGCTGACCATTGACGTCGCACCTATCCCCAAGGCGGACCACTGCTACAACGGCACTAGTGATAGCCGGGACACATAAAACTCGCGTACCCCGAAACACACGGCCGTCACACGATACCATATACACTGCTGTACTACGAGGGCACACACCGAACCGGCACCAATGATGCCAATGCGAGTTGGGGTGTTACACTATTTTTTATCTTGCAGCAACGTATTATACACCCCTCGGCAAAGCCAACTTGCCTGGATAGCGGCCAGATACTGGCCGTACTTGTTGCCGAAGATGTTCTTGTTCCCCCCGGCCCCTGTGGCACACCCCCGGCAGCCGGTGTTCACATCTTCTACCACGGTCCCAGCCGACAGATACTGCTTCGGCACCTGCACACACAGGAAAACGTGCGAGTACGCAAGAGAAAATGAAGTGAAGGAGGCACGCGGTCACGTTGTCGGGCTCGACGGGCGAATGGTAAACTTCGAAACGAGGCTAGGCGTTTCCGGATTATCGACAGCATTCTTCAACGAATACTTGGGGATCGAGACGGCTGTAGTAGTGTTGGGGGGAGAATTTTAGTTCTAGACTACATCGATCTCACATGGCCAGGCCGCAGCTGGCGACAGGGAATAAACCAAGACTCGCTTCGGCGTATCTGGACGGTCGCGACTCACCCTGCAGATGCTGACGGTACCGAACTTGTAGTTCTTGGTGTTGATGACGTAGGTGCTGCAGAGTCGCTCGTACCCGGGTTTCTTCCATTTGGCCATCAGAGGGCCGTCCACAAGTTTCTGCAACACCACGAAACGCATCGTGTCGCCGTCAGATTCGATATTGTTTGGTCAGCGTGCGCGCGTCTCTCAGTGCTGAATTTTCGTGCTGCAGTACTTGCATCCTCGGCAGCGCCAGCCAGTTGCAAATATGACAAGCTCCAGTTGACAGACTTGGCGAGCGCAGGGTGATCATTGGCATCGCCGGCGCTGACCGGTTAACCAATGAGAAGACTTCACTCGGTGCGGCAACCCCCCTCTCGACAACAACGCCTACAAAGCTCACGATCTGGTGTCTCGGAGGAGGGCTCTTGCGGGCGTGTACGCATGCGAATGTTACCCCCCCGGCGAGCCTAGTGCGGTGAGAACCCGGCGTGCTCCGTCCGGGCTTGGAAGGGATGCGAGGTCAATGGTCTAACGACTACGGCATGCAAGGCTATGAGTACACCCCCCCCCCCCCCC